CTTTGAACTGTGATCCTTCTGATCTGTGTGTCCCCAGTAGCTAGTATTACAGGCAGGAACCACAGGCTCCCAGTTCATTTTTCATCTTTAAATATGCATACTTCTTTCTTTCTTTCTTTTTTCCTTTCTTTCTTTCCTTCTCTGTCCTTTGTAATGAACACATAGATAGATAGATAGCTATGTTTAAATGTCTGTAAGTTTTTTTTATGCTATCCTTTCAATTGTCATCTTTTTTACAAAAACTATCCTCTTGTATACAATAAACCAGAAGATGTTTACTGATCTTATCATTGTCAGAAGAGGAAAAAGGAATTTAAGATGGGCATATTTCAGGCAAAATGGCTGGCCTCGAACTCTTGATCCTCTTGCCTCTGCCTCCCAGGTGCTGGGATTACAGATGTGAGCCACCATACATGGCAAGTATGAATACTCCTAAAAGGCAAAACCAAAATGCTTCTATTTTATGTTAAAACCATGGATTAAATCACATCTATGTGTACAGTTATAATTGCCTGCAACTTTTAGTCTAAGGTAGAAAATGTAACGGATATTAGCATTAAAATGGATTTTTTAAATGAAGTTCATTCTTTCTCCTTAATATGCATTACTTATAGACTCATTGGAGAAACTCCAATGCTAAAGGGAAAAAACCACCTATTGTGTCACTGCCCAGAGACATTGTCCTGAACACCTTGGCGCACTTCCTTCCTGTCCTTTTCAACTCCACACGTTTCATGTTTGTTGTACACACTTATGATCATATTGGGTCTGCATTGTGCATCTGCTTCTGAGGCACAAGCAATTTCCTCTGGGCTTTTTTTTTTTAACAAGCATTTGGCTACATAATAATCCACTTCATAGATTCACTATCATCTTTGTTAAACATTTTCTCGAGTAGGATACTGGTGATTTTATAGTGAGCTCTATGCTTTGAACATCATGGGATGGATTATTGGTATAGACTACACTTTACAGAGTTTTGAGAAACTATCTTCCAGGCTAAGTTTGTAGTTATTAAGTATGTAAAAAGCTGACAATTGCTTCTAATTTTTCCAGTAAAGCCCTTACAACTGGTTTGCCAAAATTCTAACCCATGTTAATTTTTTTTTGCCACACCAGAATTTGAACTCAGGTCCTGTGCACACTTGACCACGTGAGCCCCACTCCCAGCCTTTTTTTGCTTTTGTTTTAGATGTGGTGTATTGTTGTGAAGCCTAGAATGGCGTTGTGTTAAAGATCGTCCCACCTCAGCTTTCCCAGTAGCTGGGATTATAGATGTATGCTTCCATGCCAGTTTCACTTTTCATTGGGGATGTCTCCTCTTATCCTTGAGTTCATGGTCTTTCCTATTCATTTCTTGGTCCAACTCCCTGGAGACAGAGGCCACCAAATGATGACACTTCTCATTTAGTGTAGAGGAAAGTTTGTGTTTATTTCCACTCCAAATATGTCTCATCAGGAAAAGAATAACTCCCAAGTGATTCTCCTCTGATTCTATAATATAAAAAGCAGGCCCAGAGTAACCCATAGGTGAGACCTGTTAACTCCAATCTTCTGGCCATACTACAGGTTCCTTTAGTGCCTTTCATCTCAGACCCAAACCAGAATTCCTCCAAGACTTACAAGCTCTCCAGGAAGAGTCACCAGGAAAATCTAGAGGGGAGTTGTTTCTCTCTCTCCCTCTCTCTCTCTCTCTGTCTGTCTGTCTCTCTCTCTCTCTTTCTCTCTCTCTGTCTCTCTCTCTTTCTCCCTCCCTCCCTCTCTAAAATTCTGCTGATTGAACTCAGGGCCTTTGCCTTGCTAGGTATGCACTCTACCAGTCAATAATTTTTTTAAAAAAATATTACTTTGGTGGGCTGGGGATGTGGCTTAAATCTTAGAATGAAGTACAAGCCCTGAGTTCAAACCCTAGTATGTTTGTTTGTTTGTTTTTTCTTTTTGTGGTATTGGCATTTGAACTAAACTCTAATTTTACTATTGATGTGACTTAAGTGAGCTCAGTTGTACAGGAAGTTCTGGGCATCTTTCATGTGGTCAGGTGCTGAAGTTATGGCCAGGGACTCACAAGAAAAAAAGCTTGCATGGCAACATGTGGATAGGAGAAATGTGTCTTATGGGGTCATCTTGGATAATTATGTATTCGGGGTATGAAGACCCAGTTAGAAGTAGTTGGGACAAGGCTAGGCTGGTGGCTTGAATGGTAGAGAGCCTGCCTAGAAAGCTCTAGGCTCTGAGTCCAAACCCTAGAACTGTTAGTTAAAAAAAAAGCAGCCAGGACAAATCTATGCATCAGAAACTTAGAAATTTAACCAACTGTTACTTAATAAGTATATATGAGAAAATGACGAAGATGATTTGTAGAATGTCTTCCAGAATGAAGAAGGGTGAGTGAAAATATTTATGATATGGCCAGGTTTAAGGAGTCAACACTTCTGTGGTTTTCTTCCCAAGCCAGAGAGATTCATTTATTCATCCATTAATCCAATAAATGATGTGGCTGATGATATGGAGATGAATGACACACTTCCTACCCTCACAGAATTCAGTGTAACGGACACACATTTAGATCATTTTCATGTGGTCTAGAGACTTTTATGAGACTCTTTAGGAAGGGCATCCATCCTAGTTTAAGGTGAGCAGGGAATGGGAGAAAATATCAAAGAGGCCTGTCTGGGGTACGTTACATTTGAATTGGTTTCTCAAACAGTCAGGAGTCTCACTGGTGAGGAAGGAAGGAAGGGTGGGTGTGTGGTTGGGTTTCGATGAGGATGGCAGGTGAGCAATGCTGGCATTCCAGGGACAGTATCAGCCATGGTGTCCAAGCTGACCTCACTTGTGCAGGAAGTTATCACTCTGTGCAGCTCTCGTGTGCTCAGGTGTCAAAGGTCTGGCTACAGAGGGTGTATGGGTGTTTTTGCTAGGCACCAGTGGCTCACATCTGTAATCCTACCTACTTGGGAGACTGAGATCAGGAGGATCACGATTTGAAGCCAGCCTGGGCAAAGAGTTCGTGAGACCCTGTCTGGAAAAAAACCAACAAAAAAATAGGGCTGGTGGAGTGGCTCAAATGGTAGAGTGCCTGCCTAGAAAGTTTGAGGCTCTGAGTTCAAACTCCAGTACTGCCAGAAAAAAAAAAAAAAAAGACTGGTGTATTCATAGTGTCATGTTTGAAATGCTTGTTGGGCATCTGTAGAAACACCAAGTAGGCAGGTAGAGGTGTGGGTCTACAATTCTAGAATGAACACAGGATCTAAACTTGGCAATTGCTGGTATATACCTGGTGATTACTGTAAGACCTAATGAGGTTGTTCAGGGTAGGGGCCGTGAGGACAGGAGGAACCAGCAAAGAAAACAGAAAGTGGCAGCTAGAAAGGTTGGGGGAAAACCAATAAAGTGTCAAGGGGACAAAAGAGAAGAATACAGCTATTTTTCTTTCTTTTTTATTGTGGTACTAGGACTTGAACTCTGGGCCTACACCTCTGAGCGACTCCACCAGCCCTTTTTTGTGAAGAGTTTTTTTGAAATAGGGTCTCATGATCTATTTGCCCAGGCTGGCTTTGAACCGTGATCCTCCTGATCTCTGCCTCCTGAGTAGTTAGAATTACAGGCGTGAGCCTGGCCTTCAGGTGTTTCTTACGGAAGAATTTTAAAACTTGTTTTACAGTCGGAACTGCTCTGGGATGAAGAATAGACAGTGACTGGAGATGACAGGGAGGTGTATCTTAAACTTACCTTTCTTCATCTTTAAATGCCTTCACTATTCTCTTCAGATTCAAGGTCAAATTCAGGGCGTTTGTGTAAATGCTTTACAGGGGTTTAAAATGTGGACCGGGTAGGGGCTTGCAAATTTGTCCCACTGCTGACACCCTGGCATCCCTGTTTCATGGGAGTACGGTGGAGATTAGTGAGATATGTAAAGTGGATCTGTACACACCAGCTGCATCGTTAGAGCACCTTTCACAGAAGCGCGATCCCATCTTCCCTGATGACTGACGTTCCCTGCTTTTTCTTTATTATTATTTAAATCTATTGCAGATGCTTTCAGTACAAATCTAGTAAGATGGAAGCTAACACTTATCTGTACTCAAATTAAGTCACCTCATCCTGGAATTAATAGGATTATCATCCTCACCTCATGCAGCGGGAGGCAGCATTTGCAGCCTGGCTTCAAAGCCCAGCTCTTAATCACGGACTTTTCGTGCTTTTAGCTAGGCAGACTTGGGCCACTTCTTGGGTCATGTCCTGCTCCTAATAAACTCACTTTTTCTGCTGGAAGCTCTCTTACTGCCTGCAGCAGCCAAGGATTACCGCTCGGGTTCAGGAACCCATGAGAAGGTAATTTAATTCACCCAGATGGAATCAGCCCAGTTATGTCCTTCTGAGCTCCGTGAACTTTCACCTTGGCCAGAAGGCGAGTCTGCATCACCGTTCCCCGGAGTCACTCTCTCAAGGAGCACTACAGATATTCTCGGGTAAGCCCCCAAAAAAACGCCTATGGACGAACACGTTAACTGCACAGCTGAGGGCTCCCGGAGTCCCCGCACGGTCGTCCGGGCTTTGGACCGCCTGCAGCCCGCCCTGGCAGCCTACGCAGACCCGGCACCGCCATGGGGCAGAGCTGCCGGCCCGGGCGCAAGGGGCGGGGCGCGGAGGGGCGGGGCCAGAGCGCGGCAGGAAGGGGGCGTGGCCGGCAGCCCGCGCGGCCGCTCCCCGCACCTCCCCCTCCGCTCTCCGCCCAGCCGGCGCTCCGCCCCCCGGTGACGTCACTGGCCAGGGCAGCCGGCGCCATTTTGAAAGTGGAGTCGCCTGTCCCTGCTGCTGCCGCCGCCGTCGCTGTCGTAGCAGCCGCCGCCGCCGCCGCCGCCGTAGCCGCCGCCGCGGGACAAGGAGCACGAGCGGGGAAGCCTCAGAGTGAAACCCACCATCCTGCTGGCTGGTCTGCCTGCCCCTCCTTCCTTGCGCCCCGGCCCCCGCCCCCTCCCCCCACAGGTGCCATCCGCCGCCATCCGCCCTCGCTACCCCCCCATCCCCAGGTGAGGGGGGTGAGCTCGGGAAGCGGAGACCCGGAGGAGCCCAGCAGGGTCACCATTTGCAGCGCAACATGGCAGGTAAGGGAGAAATGGCCCTCGCCCACTGCCAAGGCGCCGCTTCCTTGCTCCTCCCTCCATCACCCCCTAGCGACCGCCTGCGCCTCTCCTGGAGCCGCGGGCGCCCCTCGGATTTCGGGGACTTGGTCCGGTGGGGTGGGGTGGGGGTGGGGAGGCCCCGGTCGTTGGGAGGTGGAGATGGCTTTGAAAAGCGGGGCCGGGACCTTGGCGTGGGCGTGGGTGGGGGTGGGGTGGGGTGGGGCGGGTGGGGGCGTGCAGATTTGTCCCCACTGCTAGGGAGCCTGGCACATCCTCTTGCCACCACCCTGCTCCCGGCTTTTCCTTCATTTACGTTCTCTTTCCCCTGCCCTGCTGCAGACCTCCTCGGGTGTGTGCACAAATGCATTTTGCATTGAGAAGGAAGAGCCCTTCACAAGTTAAATGTATTGGGGGGGCATGTGTAGACTCCCTCCGCCCCCCCACCGTGGGTATGTCTGATTTTGAGGGTGCAAGCCTGAATTTTTTGTTTCTGATGATCTCCCTTTCGTTTCTTTACTACCAAAGAGTGCAACGTTTTTAATACCCAGCCAAGTTGCACGAAAAATGCAATTTAAACTTTCCATTTTGCATGCTACCTTTTCTGCAGATGTCCTTTTCCCAGAAGGGTTTCATACGTAGAGTTAGTTAAAATAGTTGTGGAGTTCAGTGATATAAATAGCCGAAGGCAGAGAGTTTTAAAGCTTGCACAAAAAAAAAAAATGTATGAAGAAAACCAGGTTGGAAATAATTTAGCAAGGAATGGGGTGAAGGAAGAGTGAGGTAATTGCTTTGAGGAATTGGCCTTGTACACTTTTGCTGTGGCAGATACCTTCCATCAACTGGTAGAATTAATTCTCCATTTAGATTCGGTTTCTTCCTCTGTAAAATCAGGACTTTCCCCCATTTCCTTCTCAGTACCTAAGTACTTCTAAAAGTGAAATAGAAATTGCTAGATGAAACCAATTTTCTGTGCTTTTTTCAATGTTGAGTTAGATATCATGGAACCTTTAAAATAAAGTTAACATGTTTGATTGACTTAGTTTGCTATGAAGAAATTGCTCCTTGGCCTTGATGAATAATGAAATGAGATTAAAATTGTTTTGCACAAGATGATGACAAATTAGCAAAATGAATTATTTGCCAGGTTCTTTGGATTCTCAGGGATAAGGTGAAGGGAGGCAGAACAAGCTTTCTTTGACAATCTCTTCAGCAGCATTCATTTCAGTTTCTTTTCCTGTCTGGAGCCAGAGATTTGCTGGTAATGAATGCAAAGAAATGGGTGTCATGTTTGCTGCGTCGCTTTGAGATAGGGTTCCTATGACTCGTTGTTCTTCACCAACGCTGTAATGTTTCTGAAGTTTTCTCTTCCATCTATGTTTCATGGTAGTTTAACCTTAATAACTCTTCTTGAAGATTTTTATAAACTTGAAGGAAAACTCTCATTTGGTATTCACTTTTTTTCTGGTAGGTCTTGCTTGAATGTAAGGCTCTTAGTATCTTCAAGGGGAAGGGAAAATGGAAGAGAAGTTTTGAATACACGTACAATGATGATAGAATGTGTGCTTTTAAATATACCTGGAATCTTATTTTGAATACACTTCCAACTATTGGGGATAAACCTTTTTCCAAATTGGTGTGCTCAGTGGTGGTTGAATGTGTGGGCGGTACTAGGCTGTTAGGATCATGCCAGCCATGGATACCATCTCTGTGTTTATGAGAGTAAGAACAGAACTCACTTTTAATTGGTATGTTTTCTTTTTGCAGGAGCTGGAGGAGGGAATGACATCCAGTGGTGTTTTTCTCAGGTGAAAGGAGCAGTAGATGATGATGTAGCAGAAGGTAAGAAAGTGTTTCATGGCGAAAGTGAATATAGACTCTTTTAAACATTTTGATTACTGAAGCATTTCCATGAACCTGAGCATGACAGTTTCAGAGATGATGTTTCTGAAAATTATCCTAAATTTCTTGTTATTTATACTTGTTTTATTTTCTCTAAATTTAGATGAAAGCAATAAATAATACATAATTGGTCACAAGAAAGCTGAGGTTCATATGATAAAAATTTCCTTGTTTAAATTCCATATACAAATAAATGGTTATGGGTTTTCTTGTTTGTTTTCAGATGATTAAGTGGGAATAGCAGTCACTAACAGCTTAGAAATATTCTTAACAGCATTTTTTATTTTTAGGGGAAGATTTTTAGGTTTTTGAACTTGCCTACTTTGGGAGTACAGTAGTATATTGATTGGCACATTCTGTGAAGAAATGCTGCCCCAAAATCATTTTACTGTCTTGCGGGAGATAATTTTAGTGGCTAAGAGAATAATGTTATGAGTATATAGCTTGTCTTCTGGGAAATTTATTTTTCTTGTGCAGTTAGGAACTGATCAGTTGAACTACTTAAGTCTAGCCCTTCCCGATTTATTTCTTAATTTATTTCAAAAGTTGTAAAGTTTGTGTTTTAATGATATTTTGTGTCTTGAATTGCAGTAGGAATTTTCCAAACAAAACTCAGAAATTAAAACATGTTCTTACGATTTTCAAATTTTGTACAGTGAAAATTTATAAATCTTTGTTTAGATTGTATTGTCTTCATAGTAGGCTTATAATGCTCACATACTGTGTGGAGTACTGTTTATGTTCAGGATTTTTCTAGGTGGTGGTAGAATGATAGCTTTGTGTTGAGCCAGCCAAATACTTGTGTTTACTTGTGTCAGTGTCATTCTTTATGAAGTGTCTGGTCAGTGTGGTGATTCCTATAGGAAGCCAGCTAGGATATTTTTCATATTTTACAGAGCTCTCCCACCTTTCTTTTTGTTGGGTCCTCATCATTTTTCAGATGAGAAACCAGAAACTTAAAAGAATTTGAGAGACTTACTACTGATGATCACACAGTGTGAATCAAGATTTTCTGTCTACCATTGATTTGTTTAGAGAAAGGAAGCCTAAGTTCAAGGGAGGAGTCATGTATTACTCATTTTGTAACTCTATTACCTGTTGAATAATTGGCACTCATATTGTAGCTTCAGTTCTGTGCTGTTGTGTAATACTCACCAAGTTGGGGAAGTGCTGTATACTTAAAAACAATTCTTGATTGAATTGTTTATTCCCTTTATCAAAGTCTCCTAAATGCTGAGCACTGAGGGTACGTAGTGTCTGAAACACTACTCTGAAGGAGCTCAGTAGTTTGCTTGCTAATCAGAAGAAATGTATTTTCCAGACTGAACATCAGTTACTTAACCAACTGATAGTATGTGATCTGTGCATATGTGATGGATGGATCAGTTACTGTTCTTGTCTGCTAATAAATAGCTTCACTTTGCCTGATTCATTAAATAATTGTCTAAGGTTGTTTAATATTGTAGCATACAGGAATTCCTAACATTTTAAAATGCCAAAACTTGGTATGTATATTTTAGTAAAAACATGACTTGTTCTAATATCTATGTCTTTGCAGGTGTGTTATGTTTGAAAAATCATCTTAGTATTTTTGCATTTTATATTTTGTATGTCATCTATTATGCTCATTTTACTAATGGAAGATGTGTTTTTCTGAAGTAGAAGTAGTTTATTAATACATTTCTCCATGTTGGACTCTAATCTTTAGAGGTTACACCAAGCTCTCCCTTTAGCTTAGATTGCCTGTTTTCTCTTAATGGTATCCTGATTTCATTCCCATCAATGGCTGAACATTGTCTCCTCTTTTGCATTCAGTTAGGTTCCAGGGCATGCTACTTTTCTTTCTGTAATGCTTTAATCTTCTGTACCTACTTTTCACCTATCTTCTGTACCTACTTTTCACCTATCTTCTGTTTCATAATGTCTCTTGTTTGTGTTGTAATAACTTCCTAAATAATTCCCTCCTCCTTCATCCTGTTTTTTGCTTCTAAATTAGTCTTAACTGCAGTTCCAGTTTCCTCATTTTTTTCTCAGAAATCTTCAATGGATCACTGTATCCATTGGATTAGAAACTAAATTTGAACATTTTGGCCTAGAATGTGCAACATTTCTACAATGTGGTTCTTCAAGTTGATTTGCTACTATGGCAAATGATTCAACTAACTGGTTACTGTTCTTCAAACAAGTCCTGTACATTCTTATTTCTGGATGTTTATGTCCAGGCCTTGGTGTACCTGGCTCCTCCCACAGTTCTAGTCAGACTGTCACTTACCTTTTAGTCATGCTTGCAGCCCTTCTACTTCATTACCTCTTGGAAATATTTCTAAACTCTTTCTCTATAGCACTTCATTAGTTACATAGGTATCACAGTACCTCAAACCTCTACTGTTAACTCTGTAAGCCTAGTAGTGCTGGTCTAATTTACCTTTGTGCAGAATGTCCTGTATAAACTGCTGTGCCTAGAACTATGTCTGGCACACAGTAGGTGTTGAATAAAGGAATGTCAGCCTTCTAGATTTTGAAAGGGGAAGAAAGGTGGGGTGATCAAGATATACTCTGGCAATTACAGCTTTATTTACTTGGCAGCCTTTATGACTAGATTGCTGATACACAGCTGTACAATACAAAGAAGTTAGGACCTTGCTCCAACAGGAACTAGTATATATTGCTGTGGATAAGTACTCTGTTCCTGTATGCTTAGACATAAATGACAGGATTAAGTGATTTCTGTTATTTCTCATTTTCTAATCTTGTTAATTCCCAAAAGATGTCTTAGAAATAACCCAACATTATTATTACTACTAAGTTAAGTTGTTTGAGATATTAGAGTTAATAGGGGCCTTAATTTAAAAACAGACCTTTACTGAACTTAATTACAAGGTTCAGAATTTTATATTAAGTACATTACAGAACTGAGAACTTAGCAGTTGACATATGTTCTCACTGACGTGGTAGGCCCTTCTAAGGACATTTATTACCTATGTCGGGGTACTTGTTCTATCGATTCCCACTCTATGTGGTTTACCTTTGGTATTACTTACAAAGGAGGCTGAGGCCCTAAGATCTCTATTATTGGGATATTATCATGTCATGCAGTTTTCATTTTCCTCTTCATAGTTAACAATAACAATATTATAATACTTAGTAGTATCTTTTTCCATTGTTGATAACTTTCCCTCATGAAATGGTATAAACACAGACTTGAGTCTTACACTGCAGCTTTGACTTCCTCAGTCACTTTACCCACAGTATGATCTTGGGCAAGTTAATACATCCCTTTGTTCTATTTCCCTCTTTATAAAAGAATAATAGTAAATTCTGTTATTTTGATGTTTAAATGTTTATACACTTAAGAACACTGCCCAGCACATAGAACCTTGTAAGGGTTTAGCTATTACTGTTACTTGAGTGGTTAGAGCAAGTAAGAGAGAGTCATCAGTGAATAGAGAAGCTGGGGAATTGTCTTTTAAAAGGCTACTAAAATTTTTTTGATCAAAGTGAAGGAAGTGGTATGTGTGTTTTATATACATGTCCTTTGTACCAGTAAAGTTCAAAAAAAAGTTCAAACATTAGTTGGAGACCTAAAAACATATAAAACAGGTAAAGTTATAAAGAAAAGCTACAAACTGATGCTGTAAAAGTCAGGGTAGTGGTCACTTCTGGGCAGGTGGGAGAGAGTTGTGATTAGGAAGGGGAGGGGAGGACCCTCAGACTGTCTTGCCCTGGATAGGGTGGTTACCACTGCAGTGTTTGTAATGACTGTTTATCTTGTACATTTTTGTTTTGATTGTTGATTTTCATTATTTGTTATACTTGACAATAGAAAAAGGTTTGAGTAGGTCTCTTTTTATTTTTTTAAAACCAGTACTCTTAAGGAGTCCTAAGGAGTTTAGAATGGAAAATAGTTTTTCCCTACCTCACTCCTTAATCTGTAGTCCTAATGACAAGTGTTCAAGTCTTCTAGCTTTATTCCTTGGTATTTAATTACCTTTTGGGAGAAGTAAAATGATGATAGTTCTATAACTTGTCAGTGTTAGACATTTCCAATTAACTTTCTTCTCTAGTAGATGAAGACTAAGCTGTTCACATTATCACCCCCATTTCTCTTCCCTTCATACCCTGATGTCGTAGCACATGCTATGTGAAGTTAGAAGTCAGTGCTTACATTGTTACGACCATGCAGAGGTGTTCACTGCTGAAACAATAATTTTTCATGGTATTGCTTGCTTTTAATAACTGCCTGTTTGTATACGTACCTATTCTGTTTTGCATTTTTAAAACTTAATTACAGGGCTGGGAGTGTGGCTCAAGTGGTAGAGCACCTGCCCAGCAACAGCAAAATCCTGAGTTCAAACCTCAGGACTGACAAGAACAAAACAACCAAAAAACCTTCATTACAGATTTTTGAACATTATAGGAAGTACATGGAATAGTGTAACAAGCTCCCATTATTACATCATCAACTCCTGGCTAGTGCTGCCTCATTTTTCTACTGCCATCACTTTACTGTTTCCCATCTCACTGTTATTTAATAGAAATATTATTGCTTGTTTTTAAAATCTGAATTCAACAAAGTAGAAAACCAAGATCTTTTTACAGTGAAACAAAAAGGAATTATTTCCAGTTGTTTGTAGTAGCAATTCTAATCATCTATTAATTTGTTTACATTTTACTTACAGTAAAAAATTAAAAATTCAAATACATATGGATAATCTGAAGTATGTAATATTTGGCTACAGTATGGATTGACTACTAACCATTCAAGGTGGTTATTTTAATGTAAATTTTCATATTAGTATGAAAATATTTCATTTTGTTAAGTATGATTTCTCTTCATATTTGACAATCATAAGCTTTCTTTCATAAGAAATATTTTAGGATAATCATTTTATTACATAAAGCCTGATTTAATTAAACTTGGACCCAAATGCATTGTATCT